AAATTGCAATAAGGTAGCGTAAAAATGAATATTTTCCGTCAAGATTCCCACGAAGTATTACCACCGCGTTAGTCCCGCCTCCTGCCGACTGAGCGGCGCTGACATCGACTCTCTTCATCGAAGCTCCTTGTTTTATCTATTACTTTTTAATGTGGTAGAGAAAATAATCATTTCCAAAAGTACGTTTTGAACTTTATTTTCCGTGATTTTCTACTAATGATTGTGTAATTTAACAAAATTTTTGAATTTATAGTCAATAGTTGTTATTTTATTGTGTACTATAGTGTTAGTTTAATTTAGTTTGTGTAAAGTTTTTATAAACAATGGGTAAGTATGTTCATCTAAAAAACTACCCCTTAGCATTTGAAGATGTTCTCGAAAAAGGAGTAATAGACGGTAATAATTTACGATATAAATTTTTATAAAATCTAAAATTTCATATTTTATAGTCCGAGATTCAATTGAAAAATGTATTCATTCCGAAAGGTAAGTTAAATTTTATTAATTTTATTGTATAAACTGTGGCACACATAAAAAGGACTTATTTAAAAAGAATAAACCATCACAGTAAAAATTAAAACGATACATTATTTGAAGCGATACCATAAGATAAATAATACAAATGATGCAGAACCAAATACTGATGGTGGAGAATAATTCATTCAACTGCAACAAAACTCGCATTAAATTTATTAATGAGTCAAAAGCAGGGCTTAGCAGCTCATTTCTTTTATGTTTTATGTGCGGGATAAAAAAGAAGCTTACACTGAAGAAAGCAAAGAGTCTATTGAGATAAACTCTGCTGTTGTTTCTGTTATCTGTCGGTACCGGATATACACAGGCTGAAGAATTATTGTTATGTGTTTGTTATTTATGTTAACAAAAACATTCCAAAAATATCAAGAAACCGCAAGTGACATGGCATAGCAGTTTATGAAGAACGCAGGTAAAGAAGAATTAATTTAGTTACAGCTTCAGGAAAAGTAAATAAAGACTGAATAAAGACTGTAAACGCTAAACGCTCGAACAACATCAATTACGATGCATCATCCGGAGTGGTACTGCTATAAAATAATTGTATACAATAAAATAAAATACTCGTGTATACAGGGTAATTCAGGTAGGTAGCGAAAGCCGATCAGGGTAATGATAGCAATTCGGTTATAATTTATGAGTGACATTTCACACGAAGAATATAAAAGAAAGAAGAATTTATTGGAAACTTGCAAGATGGATGCATTAACAGAAATAAAATACAAATTCTTACCAGAAGCTAAAGTACCAATCAGATATGGATCCAAGAAAGGTATCTGTGCCTAACTGCATCGAGATTTGGTGATGTATGTAGGATGAGAAATGACACGTCTTGCTTAAATAAAGTTAAATCAATCTTGTACTCGAAATTTGCTAGAAATAATAGCACTAACATGGCTAAGACTATGAATGGCTTGCATTAAAAAAATTTGAAAGTAAATATAACTTGCCAGCAAACTTTTGAGCTCTATTCATCCGTAGGATGTATGGATTCTTAGTTGCAAGTCCAAATGAAACAATAAAAAACGAAAATGCCATCGTCGAGGTGAAGTGTCCAGCGAATTTCAAGAGCTTACATCTATTCAACGATGGCAAATTAAAATTTCCTAAAGATTTTTCTAGTCAGGGCTGTTTTATTTATTACACTATTAGCCATATTTTGTATACTTGAATCATTATTTAATATTATTATTAATTAGGTATTACATATTATTTCATTTACTTATACAAGGTGATGCAGACCATGCAGTCCATTTTTTTAAACAGAAATATTAAAAAAGTTCGAATGAAAAGTAATAATATTCATAAAGGAACCACATTTATTCAGCTATTTTTTCTTTAATTTTTGTAACTACCTGTGTTTTCAAATAAAATTACTTACACGGTTACTCTGAGACACCTGTATATCAAACGAACGCATAATAATACAACAAAGATATAATTTATAAATGTTGTACCGAACTTTTCACATTCCCTGTATTGCAAATATATCTATTTTAATATAAAATGAAGTTATAAATGTTATTTTCGTTTCAAAATGATATAAATGTTTTATTGTTGTGAACCAAAATACTTAAAAAAACAAACGTAGTAAAAAGGTGGGCTACGACTACGATTATTAATAAAAAATCAAAATAATAAATAAATTGGAAAGTCAATAAAAAGATTGATTGTAATTCGTAATTAAGAAAAATTGTTAATAAACAATAATATTTAGAAGAAGTCGTTTAATTTCTTCATTAACAACATCGACGAGAAAAAGAATCGTAATAAAATAAACACGATGTTTTTTTAATCTATAAAGGGTCGGGCCTAGTAGAAAATAAACTCCGCCTCGTTGCTTCCGAACGTCCGTCGTCTGCGCCCCTCAGAAACTGACCGACCTGGTAAAGTGGGCTGAATGTCGTTAGAATCGATGAGGTAATTTTTAAATAAAAGCAAAAAGGGGTAGTTTACCCCATGCAACCCTGTGGCACATGTGTGATACATCAATGGAAAGCTCTTTAAAAATGAATATCAGTTTATATGAGTTTTGGCCAGCAAAACAGCGTTTCGCCCCACTGTGCGCTGTTATAATACAACCAGTTTCAGGTTGATATTATATTAGCTTTATACCAATAACCGGCCCGACTCGTCGTGGACTCGTCAAATCCAATCGCACATTTTAAATAATGCACTTAAATCTGCATAAATGTGCGAGTACACTTTTAACGAGTACACGACGCGTCGGACCGCTTCGCACTTGTTGGAACATAGCTATTAATCTCGGCCGCAATCGACCGATTGGTCAAAGGATCTATAGCCTTATTTGATAAAGCCAAGGTCGCTTGCGACCGAGGCGCTACAATATAAGGACATGTTTCGAGTTTTATTTATTTATTTATTACATATTCGGGATGCATACAGGAAGAATATCCCAACAAAGCATCCTCATAATAACGAAAGTTAATATATAAAATTGTAATATAAACTAAAATAAATACAATAATAAAGCGATCAACAAAATATTCGCTATACGTTAGTTAATACACATTCTCTACAAGAGTGTAAAGAAACGTCAAAGAGAGATACATGGTTGAAGGTTATGGGAATTAAGAATTCGAACTGATAAAAATTCGTGAAATGCTTACTGACCCTGATAACAAACCCCAAGTTACGTAAAGCTTTCCTCGCCATAAATTGAATATGAAGATGAAATCGCAACTTGGAATCCAATATGATGCCAAGTAAATGTAACTTTTTGCATTTGTCATAGTTTAGTTTTTGCATTTGTCATAAAGTTTGTTGAGGCGACAGCACTCCTCCCTCGTTAACCTCCCTCGGCGGTTAAGATCCTCCTGTAGTCTAAGGCAATCCAGTTTAGACCCGATCCTTGTGAATATTTTATTATCGTCGGCATAGAGTAAAAACTTAGCAAATTTAAAACAAGAAGAAATATCGTTTATGTACATTATAAATAGTAAAGGTCCAAGATGACGGCCCTGAGGTACACCGGATGTGATAGGTCTGTAACCAGATACAAAGCTACCAATCCTGACCCTCTGGCTTCTGTTAGATGAATACGACAGAATCCAATGAACTAGACCATCGGGAATATCAAAGGAGAAAAGTTTCTGTACAAGAATAGTATGATCGATTTTATCGAAGGCTTTGGAATAGTCGGTGTAGATTGCGTCAATCTGAGTATCCTCGTTTAAAGCAGAATGAATAAAGTTTACAGAGGACAATAAATTAGACTCCACCGATCGCCCAGACAGGAAACCATGTTATTCATTGATTATAGAGTAAGAAATAGAGAAACTAAGATATTCGTGGATAATTTTTGCAAAAACCTTGGGGATAGCTGAAAGGATAGAAATAGGACAGTAATTGGATACCAACTGTTTATCACCAGATTTAAATATTGAAATAACGAAACATACTTGGGGAAACATCTTCAAGTAAGGACTTCGAAAAAATACGAAACAGTGGCGTAGACAGCTCAGTAGCAAACTCTTTTTAGAATAAAATTAGAATACCATTCGGACCAGGTCTAGAAGACTGGTCAAGATGTAACAAAACATTATAAATTGCGTTAGCGGAAAACCACGGCAAAACCCCAGACCCATGGTCAACCACTGAGCTGTCGATTGTGCCTTCTACAAAAACAGACGAGAAGTAATCCGAGAAAGCACAAGAGATTGCAGGACACTAGTGCTGGCATGTCGGATAAGGAACCCTTTTTGCTATTAACAAACGACCATATCTTCTTTGGTTTCCCCAACACATCTGCCTGAATGGAACTCAGATAAGCTCTGTAATCAGTAGCTATCATTTTTTTAGATCTACGACGCAAAATTGAAAAAGATAGATAATCACAGTTCCGCCCACCGGATTTTTTGTGAAATTGTAGCTTTTCTTTAATAATACGAATGGTAGAACGGTTATGTCAACAAGGGAATCGTTGTTTAGCTAAAATTCGTTCGTTAATATAACTGAGCCTCGACAGCAAGCGACCTCGGCTTAATTAGTGAAAGAATCGACATTTCAGTCTCATAAAGCCAAGGCCGCTTGCGGTCGAGGCACTGCCAATTAACCAATGGTAATTGGATAACTATCATTCCAAATTTGTAAGTGAAGCAAAAAAAATTGTGTTAACATTAATAAGTTATAGAGATTATAATGGTGTGTGCAAGCAGTTGAAGCATATTGACTCGATGGAAAACAGTTAATTATTCTACAGACCTTGAGACAATGTTTCATTTCTTTATTAACCTTCTTTTAACAGAATTTCAATAAAAAAAATACATTTAAGTAGACATTAGATATATGTAGATTAAGCAAACAAGTTTTATTTATAAATAAGTTGAAACGAGCCTCTACCGCCATCTTCTTTCCAATGTCCGAACTAAAATCGGACTTTCTAAATGTTAAAATTCCCTTCATCTAACAGAAATTGGTAGGGTTATTAATGTATAAATAAATACTCAGTTTTTAATCTTAATTTTAATTCATAACGCCCATAAATATGTACAGAACAAATGTATAAAATATAAATTACTCCTTTATACTTATCTCTTTATTACAAAATCTAAGTCTTGGGTATAATATTATGTATTACTACGAGATGTAATACTTATAATACGAAGAAGTCTATAGAATACAAAGAAAAACTAAAAATAAATATTACAACTAATGAAAACATAAATTATCACATTCAATGACTGAATTTAATAATCCCTCACGTAGGTTTTAATTCTCGAATGTAAATTTTTCAGTAAGACATATTAAATTCCCTCCATTCTTTTACTACCTAAACATTTCCCAAGGTTGTTTAACATGTAGTTTACTTTCGGTGTCTTGACTAATTGGCTCAGGTTGATAGGGACTATTAAAATCCATCGCAGGTTGTGTTTGCGAATTATAAGAGGAATATTGATTTTGATACGACGGTTGGTACATATTATAATTATTGTAATTGTTATTATAAGGCCTATGATACATGTTGTTAGGAAGAAAATTATTAGTAAAAGAATTTCCCGGAACTAACGTATTAGATGGTATAGGAGGGTTGATTATATTTGGAACTGGTTGATTTAATCTAGGGTGATACATAGGCATTTGTGCTCTTCCTCTGTATTGTACTTGACGATAAGGTTGGGTCGTTGGAAACCTGTTTCTTACTGCGGGCTGGTTTGTTGCTTGGCTCATTGGCTTGTAGTATTGTTGAGGTAAACTATGGTATTGTAAGGGATGTTGTTCAGAATATGATAAGTTAGGTTGAACTGTGTTTGTGTATACATTGGAAGTATTATAAATGGGATCTTCCGTAACTCCCATTTGCGAGTAATTGTGATCCTCCAATTCCTGTTCATCTTTAACCTCAACACCCGTAGAAAAATCTTCGTTCGATGATAGTGCTTGATCCGAGGTGATATATTCTTCTTCTTCGGGTTGCAATTCTTCTTTAACTATAATCGGTCGTGGATACGCTTTTGGTTTATTAGTCATTGTGGTTGGTTTTGACAAATTATTAGTAGGTTTAGGTGTATTATCAGTTGATTCGTTATTAAAAGATTTTAATTGATTTGTGTTCGTTTGGTTTTGTTTCCGATAATTTGGTTCAATGCTAATCTCACTTGAAATATTTTGCAACATGTTTCGAATCGCGGTGTTTGGCCTTGGGGGGTAACTAATATCCAAGTTATTTTGTATGGGACCGCTTTGTTTCATATGTGCCTCTGGCGTTATTGATTCGGTTTGATTATTTGGGTCTTTGTTTTGTTTCAAAACGTGAAGTTTAAAGTTATCACAAACAGCTTTTGAAATATTGGCAGATTCAATCGGGTTTGGTTTGGTTGGCTTACGATTGTAAGTCCTTCGAATATAGCACCTAGGATTATTTGATTCAGATTCATTTCCCTGTTGTTCACTAATGTTCCGCGAATTTTTCGATTTTTCATTGAGAAGAACATTTAATATTATGGGACTCGTTGTGTGTTTTTGGGAATCGGTCTCTTCAGAATTAATTTTTGTGTTTGTTGTGTGAATATTGTTTTTGGGAGCACTAGGTGCATGAGTCGCTATGTATTTAATTTTTAGATTTGGTACATTTTGGTTAGGTCCAGAAGGTCCAATGGCTTTTTGTGGTTGCCTAAATGGTTGTCTTAATACGTTGGGACCTACTCTAGCGCTATCATGCATGTTACCAAAACTATGCACTGGATAATTCGGTCTAATTTGTGGTTGCAATCCATCTGCGGGCATAACTCGATATAATGACTTTCTCACTCCTGTGTTTAGTGGCACCATTGGTGGAAGCATTGAAGTTAATATATTGTTTTGCAAGTTGTTTTGAGGTAATATTTTAGTAGGTAAGTGATTACGAAACCTTCTATTTTTGTCAAAAATGTCGATTACGTTCATAGCCGTCCACAAATCGCGAACTTTCTTATCCTTAGCTGGTTTTGCAAACGACACATATGCGGACTGCAGTTTATCGGTAACGAAATGAATTGGAATGTCAAACAATTTGAGGTCTGTGTACGCATCATCTAAAACTATATTATTTAATTGAGGATGAGATGTATCGGTTTGCAAACGCTTTGTTTGTACGGATAAATTCTTGTAAACGGGGGAGTTATCTATATGAGAAAATTTAATGAAAATCTTGCGGATTTCGTATTTTTCAACTTTAGTAATCGTTCCGTTATGACTTAAATGATGTTTGACTAATAGTTTGTTGATTAATTCTGCAAAATGATAAAAAACACATTAATTTAAAAATGATTACACATAAAGGCAGAACTTTGTAGCAACATGCAGAAACGAAACTTAGTAACTTACTAGGATTATTATAAACACCACTAGCTATATCTTGAAAATATTTGTCAAAAGCTGATTGATAAGTTCGTATTAATTCCACATCGTCATCTACGCGCACCACAGACACAGAAAGTTTCTGATTGATTATGTTATTGTAGCAAACATTAACCAAGTGCTCTTGTAACACTTCGTGAGATTCAAATCCTTTCGTACAAAAACCACATCGAAAATGCACTCTTTGATGCGCCTTAAGTTGTGAATTTCCCCAAAAATATCGATCACAAAATGCACAATATTTTGAATAAGGTTCGTTATTATATTTTTGATCAACGCTCTGTTTCTCTACTAGTTTATCTGGAATTGCTTCGATTTCGTCTTGAGTTTGATTTTTTCGTCTTTGTGGTCGAATTCGTTTCCAGTCTGAGGTATTTTCTTGTTCTTTTTCTTCTTCTTCTTCTTCCTCAAACTCTTGTACATCTTCTTCGTTGTCAGTGTCATTGCCACTGTAGTCATCGTCGATATAATACTTATTAGATTTATTTCTTTTGGAAATTGGCTCAGAATCGGACTCGGATTCGCTTAAGAAACGAGATTCAAACATTTTATGCGCTCGAACCGACCTATACTTTCTCTTTAACGTTGCAATAGGAGTGTCATCGTCATCGCTTTCTAAGCGTATTTGGTTCTCTGAATCCTCATTGTTATCTTCCTCCAGTTCATTGTCAGAAGATGGCCCGCTTTCTGTTGTTTGTGTCAAAATATGTTTTGGTATTCTAATTTTTAACGTCCTAACTTTTTCACAGTTATTTTCAATTGGATCAGTTTCTGTTGCAACATCGATTAAAATAGGTTTTGGATTTTCAATTATAGAACTTGATAAACTATCTTCTATTAATCTTTCATAAATAGATTCATTTAGATTTTGTATACTTTCTTTACAGAAGGAGGTTGTGTCAGAATCTTGATTTATTAATTTCTGAAACAAAAAAAAATACAAAATAAGAAATTTAAAGATAATTATTTTGATAAATCATAGCATAGAAAGTTTACATATTTCCCTAGTAACTGTATTTAAGTTAGTTAAGGTTTTCAAAGATCAGTTTCAGTTCAGTGTTCACCTGCAACTGATAATGACAAGCAGCCTTGGCTTTATGAAGTAAGGTTATTGATCATTTCACCACTTTTGCCGATGTCGCTTACGGCCAAGGCATTACCAGGTGAAGGTGTAAATCTTTTGATTAATTATGCTTTTTATTACAGCTATGCTTCATGCATATCAGCATTACTACATTCGTTTCAATATGCATACAAAATTTGAATATTTTAGGTTAAAGTCCTCATACTCTGTATTCATTAATAAGGTACGTTGCATTTACATTAAACTTCAATTTAAATAAATATAATTTTTCAGATACGCTTAGAACGGCAGAATTAGCAGCTGTCACAATATGGTATGAAAGCTTTCATAGTATGGTAAATTAAGTGTAGCTTAACATGTTAACTGCCACCATAACATAAATTCTAAATTTTTTTTCTGTACATAAATCCATTCTTAGTGTGAAGCGAATATGATTCACGTGGGCTGCTAGACAAAGCCAAATTTTCTAAGAACATGTGACTATTTCAGTGATATGGGTGAATACGAAAAAGAACAGGGAAGACTACAGCGTTTTATGGATGAACTCTTATCAGACAAACAGAATAAACAGTATGTACTGAGTGAAGCTGGGCGTTTATCATCTTCAGATAGTATAAAACCAATCTCGAGAAACACGATAGCAGGTCAGCAGGTCACGAGAAGTTGCAAAGGAACTGACAGAACTAAAGTTTGCTATAAGTGTGAAAAGGAAGGCAACACATTTAAAGAGTGTAATAACGAAGAAGAATGCCCCTTGTGTAATAAATCTGGTCACAAAGCGGGTTCTGGGAAATGTGAACTGTTTAAAAAAGAACTAGCTTCGGCGAGAAAAGCAACACGAAAAGAAAGGCAAAAGACAAAGAAGAAAAGATGCAAACTGGTAATTAAAGAAGGTCTCCAAAAGATAGCACAACTTAACTTTAATAGAGTGTATGAGGCACATGAGTTAATGAAAAAATATATGGAAGAGGAAGATGTTGTGGTAGTTATCGGCTGTGAACCAAATAAAAGATACGCAAAAGCGCTTTCATGTGACAGTAACTGTGATACTTTTATAGATATACAAAGAAATACTACTGTGATAGATACATTTATAGGAAGGGGTTTTGTATGTGTTGAATGTTGTGTTTGTATCTCCTGTTATTTCTCGCCCACCCGAGATGTGGCTGCTGTATAATATGGAATTAGTAATTAAATATAAAACGAAAAAAATAGTGGTGGGTGGTGATTTGAACGCTAAATGTGTTATGGATTGGGTCACCAATAGCAAACCAACGAGGGAAAGTACTTGAGGAATGGTTTATGGCCAACAACTTTACAGCAGCAACAGATGGCGTGGTTTGCAACATAAGAAACTGGCATGTGGAAGATAGCACAGAAAATCTTAGCGACCACCACATAATTATATTCGAAATGGCTAGCATGTTGCCCGAAACGAATGTGGATACGAAGCAGGAGGGGTGGAGAGTTTCCCTGCCTACTCTTGAAAGATACTCGGAGAGCTGTAAAGACCTGTTTGCAGCTGATGTAAACACAAATGCGGAGGAAATCGCAGAGGACATTAAGAGATTATGCAACGAAACGTTTAAGAAAGGCAGTGGTAATCGAGTCCATAAAGGGCTGTACTGGTGGAATGGAGATATAGCGGTCCAAAAATCGGAATGCAACAAGCTTAGAAGGCGATTAACAAGAATAAGAGAGAGAAATGTAAGAGATGGTGAGGTGGATGAGATGGCGAAAGGACACAAGGAGAAAAGGAAAAAGCTCAAAAAACTTATAGCGGAAAGCAAAGAAAAAATGGAGAGATCTATGTCAAGAACTTCATGAGGATGATATATAGGGGAAAGCTTATCTCATAACTATCAGACAGAACTAACCAAGAACAAATCAAAAAATTGTTTCCTACACAGTTAGATTAAGTGGAATAGAAGAGAATTGCAAATGTCCAATTATTTAAAATGGAAGATCTGGAGGAGGCAATAGGAAAGATTCGGAGAAAGAAGGCACCCGAACCGGATAACATTACACCGGAAATATTAATTGAGAGCGTAATTGGGAATAAGACAACCTTCCTAAGCATTTTTAATAATTACTTGAAAGAGGGAATATTTCCCAAGATCTGGAAGACCGTGAAACTGGTGTTATTCAAAAGCCAAAGGACGACGTAGAGGGAAATCCGACTTATCGACCAATATGCCTGAAAATACAATGGCTAAGCTGATGGAAGTGTTGATTAGAGAGACTCTGAACAGAGAAATAGAAGATCGACAAATAATTAGTGAAAACCAATTCGGCTTCCGCTCGGGCAGGTCGACGATAAACGCTATCCAGAAAGTGCAAAGTGTGGCAGAAAAGATCAGGAACTATGCGCTATGATCCTGTTAGATATCGAAAACGCCTTTAACTCTGTTCCCTGGGCGGGCATAATGGCGATGCTAGAAAGAGGAAATGTCAGCGACTATCTGATAAGGATAATACGGTCATACCTCTCAGAACGAACGATTATAACCTCAAACGGTCAGATGCATGACATAACCAGTATAGTGCCTCAGGGGTCAATTCTTGGGCCAACACTATGGAACGTCTTCTACGACGAAATACTAAGAGAGGAAATGGAAAAGGGAGTGGTTTTGGTAGCATACGCAGATGACCTCGCCATAATTATAACTGGCAAAACCAAACAAGAAGTAGAGGACAAGGCTGGCTATGCGGTAGGAAAGGTGATGAGAAGGCTTCAAAACATGGGTATTAAGGTGGCTGCTTCAAAAACCGAGGTGGTTGTCCTACAAGGGCGAAGCAAGGCTCCTAAAATGGAGATTCTTGTTAAGTATCTGGAGGTTTATTTAAATAAAGATCTAAAAATGACTGCGCATATAAAAAGAATAACGGAGAAGGCTGTAAAAATGAACAACATATTACGGAGAATTATGCCCAATATTGGTGGGCCCGTCGGAAGTAAACGTAAACTATTAGGTAGCACTGTTATTTCAGCAGTTATGTATGCGGCGCCAACTTGGAGTAAAGAGCGTAGAGGTGATAGCCGGCATGCCGCCGATGGACCTGCTAGTGGAAGAAAGAGAGTACATCTATAAGAATGGTAAGGAGAGCAGGGAGAAGAAGAAGCAAGGAGAAACTTAATAAAGAAATGGCAACTGAGGTGGGAATGCTCTGATGGATGGACTAGAATCATGATTCCAAATGTCGAGATGTGGTTAAATAGAAAATGGGGTGAATTTGACCATTACATGACGCAGGCTCTGAGCGGTCACGGTATATATGGGAAGTACCTATATAACATTGGGAAAGCATTAATAGACGACAACATACAATTTTTTATTACCCAATGTTTGAAGTAGAAAGAACAAGATGCTCTCAAAAAATTCGCAGACTGACGAAAGAAAACTTCAATCAATTAATGATGGAAAGTAAAGAGAATTGGGAAGAAATACAAGAATTTATTGTATCTGGCTTCAAAATTAAACAAGAAGAAGAGTTTAAGAGAGAAAGGTTAGAAACAACGAATTAGGGCTAACCACAGCAGAGCCAAGGAGAGGACTTTTGAGGGGAGTAGACTTCCTCTCAACCAGGTATGACAACAGAATGAATTATTTCATAAAATTTAAAGTGTATCTTTTAATGCATATAATGCCCGGTGAACGAGGTAAATGGATAAAGACACACTGGAACGGATACCTGTTGACGAGAGAAGGAAGAAGAAGTGAGGAGGAACCACCCACTTCATTCATGTATATAATTAAAATAACTCTATTCTAAAATTAAAGAGATGTATTTTATTGTATTTCAAAATGCCTCTAAATCATGGACGAAGAGGGAGAGGAACGAGAAAGTGAAGAAGAAGAAACCCCGAAGAAATGCCCTGATGGGCGGTTCCGGGGTATGGAATGAGGGGGAGTTTTAGTGGGTAGCTGGGGCTTCGATAGCAGTCCCACACTCTCGGCCGAAGTGCGATTTTCCAGCTAGACCATCTTCAGGCGCCAACAGTATGCCGGAGTGCGTAACGCATTTTCCCCTCCTCAGCGCCAAAAAAAATTCGAACAACTATTGAGAATGTTGTAAATCATGTTCGAATACATAACTCTTCAGACGAGGTAAACATGGCCGGAAGGTATTTGAAGGAATTACTATATGAGAGAAAATGCAGGTGTATCTGCTGAGCTTTATGAGAGTATTATTGAACAATCCTCGGTTGATTTTTCAATTTGTTCATGGATGATCTTATGGAACTCATGGTGAACAAAGTAAATCGTTATGCTCCTCAGAAATTCGCTGAAAATCGTCGCCCTTCTGCTTGGATAACCAAATGGAAGAACACTAATCATCAGGAAATGAAAGTGTTCATTGGATTGCAGCTTTGGTCTGTTTCGTTTGCTTCATATATCCAGTTATTGGTATAAAAAAACAATATATGCAAATAAAATTAGTAATGTCATGTCACGAAATTGTTTCGAGTTGCTATTAGCAAACTGACAGTTTTGCAATACTGAAAATACAGATACTTCTGATAGACTATATAAACTTCGGCCAGTAATTCAATCCTTGACAACTAATTTAGCTATTACATTCCTAAAGAACAGATATGAAAGTTTAGTATTATTTCGTAGCCGACTAATATTCCGCCAGTACATAAAGAACAAGAGACATAAATTCGAGGTCAAACTGCTCAAACTGTGTACGAGAGCTGGCTACACTTTTGACTTCCGCCTTTACTGTGGGAAAGAACAAAATTCCAACGAAAATGTTCCCACTGCTGTTGTTATGAAATTGTATGACTCACTTCTGGATTACGGTAGAACAGTCTATGTTGACAATTATTATAC